GCGTGTAGTGTAGTGTATGTACTCGCCTATATATCTATTTACTTATTGACTTTATTTTTATTGACTCTATTTTAGTATTTATTTATCTATTTATTGTATCTACATATTATATATATTTATTGTCGATTTATTTATTAAGTATCTGTACAGACTGCTTCGATTAGTTAAACTATTCAAATTGTCTTTGTCTGCTATTCATGGCATTCCTAATGAGCCACCGTTTCGTGAGGCAGTCATGTATCAAAGAACTTTTTTCACTAAATTAATTCTATTATTTTTTAACACTTTTATTATCATTAGCTATTAAAGTTAGAAAAAGGTAGAAGTAACCAGAAACAAGTTAGAAGTAACTGGAAATAAGGTAGAAGTAGATAGAAACAAGGTAGAAGTAACTGGAAATAAGATAGAATACAAGGTAGGAGTACTTCCTCTGGTATCCAGTTACTGCACGTGGTACAAATTACAATCAGGGATTGGCTGGAAACTCCATGAATAATTAATGAGTATGAGAAACTCTGATCAAAACACTTGGGATGTAGGGAAAACACGAGAGAAGCATAGGAAACTTCGACACGACATTGTTCTTATTTTCCATGTTCCACAGTCACTTTTCCCCCTCGCTGTTTTGAAGACCCAATAACAGTGAGTTTCCAGTCAAAGTTGTTGACAAGATGGCGACCGTGTTTGTAATATCAATCAATCAATCAATAATTGTGTAATTAAACCCATTGCAGCAAAAGCTGAATTGCGGGTCAGCCAGCATTACAACTCAAAACATAGATAATATAAATATATAAATAATACAGCATGGTTCGTAATATATTAATAATCTATTGATATCATTGGTTATTTGTCGAATCTCTGTCCCATATCCCCTYTTTGTCATGATAATAATGATACACATACGGGCATTTTATCCTATAATATTCCAAGCCTTGTCTAAWCACACTGTCCATAAATTCATAGTCCTCCCCACCCCACTTAAACTGTTTTTCCTTCCCGAAATATGGTTCGGGAAATCCTCCTACGCGATCCCAGTCTGACTTGTAGATTCCCACAAGGCCGTAGCCATAAAACTCGTAGTAGCCATAGTCCACTCTGTTTGGTTTTCGATTGTGAGGAGTTGTGTCTTCCCATAATCGTACGATCACTGGAGTGTAGATAAATTCACCTTCGATGGTGTGCTGCGGTGAGATTCAAGGAACATATTAATATAGAACGAGCGAACTCATATATTCAGGGAATTTGGAATGATTTGCAGTGCCATAGTTAGTTTGAGGTCAACCGAGACACTTGCTTCGGTAAAAGTTTGAATAAACTTTTTGTTTTTCATTCAAACGTCTGAACAAAAGAAAAAGGAATAAAATCTAAATTGAATGAATTTTTTGGACTGATGAATGAT